TGACCAGCAACACGTACCACTGTGACAAACTCTGGTGGTTCCTACTACCAGTAGATGGATTATCTCCAAGATTGAGCTGACCACCAGCAGCAGCATTGTTGGTGAGGGTTTTTGTAGATCATAGAGTGCTTGCACCTCATGCCAGCTCAGTGACATCATTAATCCCATTATTCAGCCCAGAGATAAAGCAAGGGGTCTCTACATCAAAAGCAGTATTACTCCACCCACAGTTATCACAGGTCACCCCACTCTGCAAAAGATCCACATTCTGAAGTGGCATTTCAAAATGGCTGCACTGTAAACTGAAGCCTAGGCCCATGTATAAAAGAGAAGAAGACAAGTTGTAATGGAGATCATTGCAATGGTTGATGAGAAACTACATGGCCAATCAATGGGCAGCTGTCACACTGGGAATCCTCTGATGGATTTAAGTGAGGGAAAGGGTGGTTGGAGCTCGTTGCTGTCCTGGATTAGTGCAAGTATATTTTTATTAATTTACTGTTGTAAATATGGTGTGTACCTTTGTATTTTTCTTTATATTTTAATTTTAATCTACATCATTTCTTTTACTAGATTTATATGTTCATAAAGGGTTTTATTTCATATGAATATGTATTTTATGTTTTTAAGGATCTATTTCATTTTTCTTTATTGAAAGAGATATATTGAGGTTTAATGTTAAAAAAGGGTCGTACATAATGTATTTCAGTTAACTATAATTACATCTTTATGTTTAAGAGTTTGTTTACTTTTAGATATTTTGTAGTTGAATTTTATAGTACTTTTATTTTTCTCATTTCAATATTAAATTTACTTTGTATTTGAGGAATTTATTTCAATACTTGAATTATTGTTTCATTGATAAAAGGCTGAACATGCAAACTACATACTTTTCTTTGTTAAAGGGTTTATTATGTATTTTTGGTTTTCTCATTGTACACACTATTATCTTGCAATTGTTTGTTTTAGTATTATCCTGGTGAAGTGGATTATTTTATGTTTTGATTTTGCAGTGCAATCAATGTATATCTCTGTTTGAAGGGCATTTCTATATTTTGAATTAATCATTGCTAAATGTATTTACAAACTATATCAGTGTTAGTATTTTTCTGAATTAAATATCGTGAAATTGTACTTATTGTTATAGGATTTTTCAGTGTGTGCTACATATTTGTTAAAGGGTTTTGATTATATATATGGATTTTTCTTTCTTAAAGGGTTGTGTCATCTATTTTGCATGTAAGTGATTACAAGGGTAAGAGAAAGTTACCATACTCTTTGACCATTGCACGTGTATATATTTTAAAGTTAAAATAAATTTTCAGCTTAAGGGTAAGCCTGAGGTATAGGGGTGGGAGGAAAACTATGGTAGGTAAGCATATATACCATGCTTTTTCTACATTCTTATTTTTAATATATTATTATTAAAAGATTTTAAGATATTCTGGTATGTTCAGTTTTCACATAAGATGTAGTCAGGAAACCATTAAGTTGTTTTCATTCTAGTTGACCTAGCATTTGATAACATTGTTGTAAACACCTTTGCACAATGTGCAGCATTACAGCTAGACCCTCAGTGCATACACCAGAATGGCCAAGAAAATGCAGGTGTTACGTCAAGTGATATCTTAGTTTTGAATTAGTGTGAAAAGCTATGTGGATAGCATAAGTTGTTCTGGGTAAGTCTGACATCACCTTTGAAGTAATTGATGTTAGGTTTAAACAGTCTGGTATATCATTTTGATGAAGATAGTCAGGTACATGATCCAGTAAAAGTAACTGTCCTTTGTCAACCAAGCAGGTTTATACACTGCATTTATGTTATACTAAATATTTTCATTTTCATTTTACATTTTGCACAGCCTCTTTATTTAGTTCTCACAAACTCAGTTATTCAGTTAAAATTTAAAACTACTCTGTAATAGATATCTTATTGAATCTCTTCTTATTCAGCAGACCTATCCCATTGCTCAAAGAAATATCAGTTTGACTTGAATATAACACATTATAAATGTTTAATTCATCAAAATTGCTTTCTCGTGATTTTTTAAAACTCCTTATAATAGGTTAAGCAACAAAATATGAAATTGTTTTTCATGATAATTAATAATTTATTGGACTATCAATAGATATATAAAATTCTACTGGATCAATATTTGAACTGAATAGAGCCACTGTAATTCGAGACTGTATTTCTAAGCTGGCCAAGGTATGGTATTTGTTTTCTAATAGCAAAAATATATGTCATGTATATATAGTTTTAAAATTCAAAAACTAACACAATATCATTTAGAACACATTTTCACCAAGAACTATATTTCCCATGCTTCCCTGAATTCATAAATTTTATTTGGCATAAACACAAATATTCTAAGGTTATAATATAAAATATATAAAACCAATCTTCCATTACAGAGAAGAATGCTTCCCGGTAATCTTAATTCTGACAATGTTAGATTTAAAAAATTTAGTTTTGAATTTAAAAAAAAAAAAGTCAAGTGATGTAACAATTAAAATCATAAATAATATTT